TTAATTTTTTAATTTTTCAAATTGTTTGGTAGTTATTTTCTCAAAATCTGCAGTATATACTTCTAATAAGTTATATAGTTTACTAAGCCTATATTTTTGAAACAAGGCATAAACTTTTGTTGCTTAAGTTCAAAGTTGATTAGCACCAGTTTTTTTAAATTTTTCTAATAACACTGTTAAATTTTCTTTTTAGATGAATATTATTGCTATTATCAGTAAATAGCTTTTCTAAATAATATACTATTTCTTGTTAGAAAATTCATTTGTTATTGTTTCTTCTAATTTTCTCATAAGCTTTAACAATTTGATTGAACATTATTAATTTATTATTTCTATTAAAAGGAGAGACTAGTATATTTTTTTCTGTAAAGCTTTGATTTAAATCTCTTGTTATTTTGGCAAGCAGAGAATCTTCATTATAAGCCTTTTCCCTAATAGACCTTTCTTTTCTATGCTTATTAAAAGAAGGTTCTTTATTATTAACTTCCTTGTCCTATTTTGTATTATCATTGGGACTTAAAGTGGTCTAATTATACTCATTAACTTTATCAAAATTTGGCATATTTGTGTGATAAAGTGTTTTTTAATCTTTATGATTAATAAATTCTTTGAATAAAGACTTATATATCAAAGAATCATTATGAGTATCTTGAAGCATTTTATTAATAGGTATTGCAATTCTAGTTTTATTATTATTGATTATCTTAATAGTTTCTTGATTAATTTCCAAGGTTTGATTACTATATGTTTATTGTTTCCATTCTTTTAAAAATTGTTGCAATCCTTGCAATGCTTCGGTAGAGAATTGGTTAAGGAAAAATTCATTTACTTGCTGTATTTTGTAATAAACAAATAAATAATAAGAAATATAAAAAGACTATATATATAAAACTAAAATAAAATTTTTTAATTTAATTATTAAAAGATTTTTAAAATTTAAGAATTTTTAAGGAAAATGCTAGAATAAAAAGTATATTTATAAAAATTAAAGTTATATGATCTTTGTTTGTGGACTATTACTTTGTGTAATAATGATTTGAGGTATGAGTAGATCCTTAATTTCTCTTTCATAGTACAATTTTAAATAATCACTATAAATTAGATCTTTAACTTTTTTATCATCTAATATTTGTAGTTTGTAAACTCCAAGATCTAATATATCATGGATTATATAAGGGCCTATAAATTGTTTCTCTAATTTGGTAGAGAAAATATTTTTAAAAAATAATTTGGCAACTAGAACTTTGTCACCAACTTTTAATTTGTTAATTTTAATATTTTTGTCATAATATTCTTTTTGAGCTTTTTGTGCTTCTTTAATATTTTCTAAAGCTTTTTCTTGTTGTTTTAATAATATATCTTTTATTTCAAAAGATCTTTTCAGTAAAGCTTCTTGGAATGATTCATTTTCATCATAATAGGTCTTTATAATTGTTTCTATTGGTAATTTTGTATCACAACCATAGATTAAAGAGAATGATATGAATTTAGTTGTACTATGCTTTATAGTACAGTATGCTAATAATACAGAAAGAAGAATTTTGTCATATTTCTTGTATTTATAGCTTGTTATTTTTACTAAAGCTTTACTAATAGTTTGGTTAAATTGTTCGATCATCCCATTGGTTTGTGGTCAGTAAACAGATGATTTATGATGTTTTATTTTAAAATTATTATACAATTCTTTAACAATATCACTTATAAAATTTGTTCCTTGGTTGAATAGTAATATTGTAGGTGTCTTATATTAACAAATAATATCTTTATATATAAATTTAACAATAGTTGTAACTTTTATATTAGTTATAGCTCTTGTTTCTGGCCATTTGGTCAAATAATCTATAGCAATAATAATATAATAATTGCCTTGCTTGGTAGAAGGTAAAGGTCCTTTAATATCAATTCTAACTCTATGAAATAGATAATTAACTTCTAGAGGGGTTAGATCTTGTTGTCAAATTTCATATCCTCTATGTTGGCAAATATTATATATTTGTATATAATTTTTGATATTATTATATATAGTAGGCCAATAGTATCTTTCTTTTATTTTGTTATAAGTAGATGATATTCCTAAATATACTTCTTGTTCATCATGTAAGATATATAGAATAAGGTGTTTCTAGTCAGGTTTGATTACTCATTGATGCTTGTTTTGATTTCTTCTATATAATTTGTTATTTTCTATGAAATAATGTTTTGCTTCTTTTTAGATTCAAGATTTTTCTGTATTAGAGATATCCAAGTTAGATTATAAAGAGGAGAGATATTAGTATAGCTGATTGTATAATTTGTTATCTATTATCTTTTAAATATTTAGATAGGTGAGATAGAAAATCAGTATTTTTGTTTTGGTTACTAGCTTGATATTTAATATCAAACTAATATTCTTGAAGGGTCATCCTTTATCAAGTTATCTATTTGTTATTATTAATAGTATAAAAATTTAATAACCATTGTAGTGCTTTATGATCAGTAATCAAAGTAAATCTTATTCTAAAAATATAATGTCTAAAATATTTTATAACCCAAATAGCTACTAAATATTCAAGTTCAACAGTGCTATAGTTGGTTTCTGTAAGAGTTAAAGTACGGCTAGCATAAACAATTGCATACTCTTGACTATTTTTAATTTGAAATAGAACTGCACTCAGTCCTTGGTAAGCAGTATTAGTAAAAAGAATAAAAGGTTTGTTGTAATCAGGGTATTATAATATAAGGATATATATTAAACAATATTTTAATCAGTTAAAAACCTCATCTTGGGGTTTTTTCTAAATAAAAGATTCATTCTTTTTTAATAGTTTTAATAAAGATCTAGCCTTTGTAGAAAATTCTTCTATAAAACGTGTATAGTAAGATACTAAGCCTAAAAAGGCTCAAAGTTGAGTAATAATTTTAGGAGAAAGAAAATTATTTAATTTATCAATCTTTTGAGGGTCTGGTTTAATTTCATCGACACCAACTACATATCTAAGAAATTGCAATTCATTTGTATAAAAGTAACATTTTTTTGAGTTAATTTAGAAATTGGCTTGTCTAATTAATTCGAATACCTCTTGTATATCTAGTATGTATTGCTCAAAAGATGTGGAGTATATATTAACATTATCAATGTATACTATAGCCTTTTTCTATAAAACAGGTCTTAATACTACATTTATAAGTTTTTGAAATGTTGATAGAGCATTACATAATCTGAAAGGTATAATATTAAATTTGTAAAGACCATATTTAATAAGGAACGTGGATTTTTTTTTGTTCTCTTTCTTAACTTCTACTTGTCAATATCCCGAAGTTAAGTCTAAAGATATAAACCATTTAGCATTACCAAGGTTATTTAATATTTTATTAATTCTTGGTAGGGGATAGGTATCTTTCTTAGTTATATTATTTAATTTTTGAAAGTCTACACAAAATCTGAGCTTGTCATTTTTTTTTTTAACCAAAATGATAAAAGAACTCCAGAGGCTTTTCGATTTTTGAATAATACTATTTTTTTTCATTGTTTTAATTTCTTTTATGATATGTTTTTGTTTAACTAGTGAGACTCTGTAAGCTCTTTGTTTGATTGAATAGGATTTACCAGTATTGATAGTATGGTATACTATATTAGTTTTCTTCAGTTTAGCAAATTTAGTTGTAAAGATATCAGTATTTTCATGTAGTAGTTGGATTATAATTTGTTGTTGATCATTGTTTAAGGTATGTTTAATGAAGGTTAATTTGTTTCACTAATTGGTATGGATACTTTTTAATTCTCTTTCTTTTTATTTTTGATTTCCTTGATTTCTAGTTATACTAATTTAAAAATATCTGGTGGAGAAGGATTTAAAGGATTATCAGCATTTTTTATTTTTACATTTGCTATTAATTGTTCTTCAAATTGGGAAAAGGTATCCCCAATTTGAATAGTTGTATATGTTGGTGCAGTGGATTCATTATTATCTTCTAACTCTAATTCTAGTTTCTGATTAGAATGATAATCTTTGAAATTAATTAGTTATATAGTATTAAGGTCTTCTATTCATTGTTTACAAAATATTGGAATATACTCTATTTGATCTATTATTTTAATACTTATATATTCACCATAGTAATCAATTATAGCTTAGACTTTATCTAAATATTCATTACCAAGTACTATATTATATTCCTTGGACTTGGTTACTATTATATCTATATAAGTTAATTTAGTACTGGTACATTTTTAACTCATCTTAATGAAGTTGTTTTGTCATCCATAATATTAACAACTTTAATATTACTAGGCTCATTAATTGTTCAATTAAAAGTATTTGAACAAGAAACTTCTCTGCATTCATATTAGCATTCAGAAGAAAAGCTTCTAAACTAAATATTAAATTATAGAAAATTTAATATAATATTGTATAGTAAATAAAATATTGTTAGACTATTTATCAATCAATTAACAACTTCAGAAAAAATAAACTACCATAGTTATCTTTAAAGACCAGGAATATAGTTCTCATCACTATCATTATCTTTAACATCATTATTACTTATTGTAGATGGTTTTCAGAGTTGGAGTCAAGCAAGTTTTTATAAAGATCATTAACATCCATCGAATCTAAAGATTCAACTTGTAAGTTTGCAGAAGAGGTGCAAGTGTCTTTTTTATTCTAAAAAAAAAAAAATAAATAAATAAATAAATAAGTAAAATAAATAAATAAATAATAAACAATTAAAACAAAATATATTATATTACTTGTTTTCTTTAAAAGTTTTTGGTACTACATATCAACAACATTAAAGTCAAGTTTTGCTGAAAGGTAATTTTTATCGAAAATAAATTTAAAAACTGCTGGAGTCCAAATTGCATTGGCATGAGTGCGTTCATCTTCAGATATAAAAGCATATTTGATGATTAAAGTAAGAAAAGTATTTAAATTTGGGTCATTTTGATTACTTGGATTGTATAAATTATTATAAACTTTTCTAGAGTTTTCTTTTCATAGTTTTATTTGTTCTTTAGTATCATGTTCGGTAAATGGTTTGACCTTACTAATGCCAAAGGTACCCAGAGACCTTCTTTAATTCGATGAATATAGTATCTTTTTTTAATATGATTTGCTAATAGCATCTATAAACAAAATTAATATACAAATTATTAAAGGTATTTTTATAATCATTTCTTCTAAAGATGCGATCTGTTATCTATTTTTCTATTTAAATTTATGGATATCTTAAATTTAAATAGGAAAACTGATAATGGATCATACCTCTAATTTCTTCTATAGGTTATTTACCTGATATTATATAATGCTATAATGTTTAAGTAGATATATATAAATAAATTGTCATCTGTTGATATTAGATAAATGACTTGTAAGGAAAAAGACTGGCAGAAAAATAAAAGTAAAGAATACCAATATAAATATTTAAATAAAATTTTTCATTCCACAACTTATTGAATAAAAATCTTTTTTCTTTCAAATATTGTAATTGCTCTGCACAATCTTCGTCTTTTTTCAACTTATCTTTGAGCTATGTTTTCACTTCTTTGTTGCTTATTTGCTTATGTTTATAAAATATTTTAGATAAAAGTTGTCGAATTGCTTTCTAGAATATATGTAACAAATAAACATAGATGTCAATATAACAAAAAAGTAATAGTTTAGTACTATAATGAGAACCTACTTGAAACAAAAAATTCTGTTATTTTTTTTGATAGCTTTTTCTCTTTATTTTTAATCTTAACAGAATTATACATTTCCCCAGCATTATTCAACTTTTTTAGAATATTTTCAAACTACAATTATTGTTTGTTGATAAGATATTTGAGTTTTACTTGGCTTTTAGCTAAATGTCTAAGTTGTGATTTATTATTTTGTTTGATGCTTAAGATCTATCAGTAATAGATAACTCTATTAAATAATATATATAATTAACTAATATAGTAAAAAATATAAAATATTATTAAATAAATAAAATAAATATTAATCTGATCTTTTATCAAGCAGCGAAGGTATGGAAGGGATAATAACTCAGGATTGCAACTAAATTATATAAAAAAATAACATATGAATTTTTTTATTTTTTTATTTTATTTTTTTTTATTTTATTTTTTTTTATTCTTTAATAGTCTTGCCGGTGCTACAATACAAATATTTACATGGTAAAATCTGTCTTAAAAAAAAATAAAACCTATTTCTAGTAAATGCCTTTTGCAATTACGAGCCCAACATTACCTGGCTACAGATACTGCGCCCAGATGCGACTTGTTGCACTGACTCACATACGTGTTAGAAGACCTTGTTAGCCCATTAAGAACTAATCCTTTCAATCTTTCTTTCTTTACTAAGAGCACAAGAAAGTAAAATTCTGTATCACTAATACAAAACTAATATTAAGAAGCAAAACAAAAACAAAAACTAAAACTAAAAAAAAAACAAAAAACACATAAATAAAATAGGAATCAAAAAGGAAGATAAATAGGAGGACAGGGAAATATAAAAAAAGAAAAACAAAAAGAAAAGCCTCTATGGGCTGACCAATCTGCCTCTATCAAAAAGTGATTGTGGTTAAATAATAAAAATTATATAACTAATACAACTATAGTATATCTCAATTGTAAAGTTTCACTTTATCTAGAATCTTCTTTCTAATATATGGCCAAACAGACAATAATGAAATATCAACCAACTCATCTTGAACTTCATTGTAGTTAAAATCAACAACTTCGATTACTTTAACTATATTATTATAATCAACCACCTTGGTACAAGCAACAAAATTAAACAACTTAGTAGCAAACTTCTTAACTAAAAAAAAAAAAAGCTGCTGACCAAGTGGCTAATACGAAAACTCCTAATCCTCCAACAACAACTACTAAAAATCTAACAGCTACTAATAATACAACTACTATCAATAAGTCTTTAGATAGTAGGAAAGAATTATCAGTGGGTCCTATATGTTTTTTTTTTTTATATATAAGTATATATTTTTTTTTAAATTTTAATTCATATGTTATAAGTTTTTTTAGGCTAAACATCCAACTCTTTCTGACAATCCCTCACACCAAAAATTCCACTAATACCAGCCTATAAATATTGTGTAGTTAGTATGTTTCTTCATAACAAAACTTTGCCAAATAGCATCTGAGTTCAAAAGTTTCAGATTGCATGTAAGCACTATGAAATAGAGTTGAAAAAGATAGCTTCTTGTGGGTTTGGCTCTCCGGTAGAAGTCTAAGGAGCTATCGAACAAGTAGCTTTGGTGACAACCAAGAAAGTTTTTGTCAAGTTATATCAAAGCAAGTGCAAGGATAAAAGCTTAGATAAATATACTATTCTATATAACATAAACTCTTACACTCCTTGTTTTGGTGCTTACCCTGGCTTGTTGTCTTTGCTATCACCTACTTGTGCTTTCAACAAAATTTTTGAAAAAAGTAGGCAAAACAGCTTACTCTCGTCAGAAGATCGGCATTGTTTACTCCTTCCAAATCTGAACAACCAGGTAGATTGCAACTATGTGTTTTGGAGTGATCATAATGATAAACATGATGCTACCTACAGAGGACCGGGACCTTCCATTTATTTTACATCCGGCTTTGGTCATATATTAGAAAGAAGATTCTAGATAAAGTGAAACTTTACAATTGAGATATACTATAGTTGTATTA